CCTTTACCTTCTCCCTCTGCTGCCATGTCTCCTCTCCTTGCTCCATCATCTTCCCTGGTGCTTGCTGCCCTCCAGCTCCTCACCCTCCCCTGCTGTCCTGACTCCTGCCCTTCTCACTGCCCTCAGCCCTCCTGCGACCTGCCCCCCTCCACCAGCCCTTCTCTCCCCCCTGTGCCCACTCCTCCAGTAGCCACACTCTGATCATGTGAGCTACCCCTCTTCTAACACCTCCCTCTACACACCTGCCCTGCCTCTCTCCTCCGGTGCTGGTCCCTCCCCTGCAGGTGTCTGCCCTTCTGCTTCTTCCCAGAATCCTCTTGCACCTGCACCTTCCCTTAGCACTGCACCCTTATGGTTACTCCCACTTCCCTCACTGCCACTGCTCCCTTTGGCATCTTTTTCCCTGATGCCCACCCCCTCATCACTGGCTTAAGAGTCCTTGTTGCACATCCTAGGATCAGGATGGGTTCACAGGTCTTTCCTGCTCTTCGATCCCTGCACTGCTGCCTCTGGGATGAAGTGCTGAGCTGAGAACAAGATGGCGTCGACCACATGGCCTATTTATCCCTCCTTCCTGGTCCCTTCTTGGCTGTAGAAGGTCACCTGGCCAGAGGCCAATCTCTGTGTTCCCTGCTGGCAGCTCTCAGGTGACAGCCCCCATTCTTTAGGTGTGTCCTTGGCCCATTGAGAGCCATTGTCCCACAGACCCTCGCTAATTAGCATGTCCACAGGCCCGGCCCTGCCTAATACTCAACCACATGCAGGGAAATCTTCATTATCCATGCAATTACATGCTAATAATTGCACACACAGACATTATACACACATGAACAGCGTACATAGGATTATCAGACAGTGAGCTTCTATTCAATACCTCACATGGCCCCCTTCTATACCATTTTTGGGGCCAACACCCCCACCTATGGGTGCAGCAGTGATCTGGCTGCTCCCTCCAAGGTCCAGTAACGTGACAGCATCCGCCTGGTCTGGTGCAGAGATCGTGGACCACATCGAGGTTTGGGGGGAAGCCTCCAATGTCTATGATCTCTGCACTAGCCACAGGAATGCGGCCGTCTACAGCCGCATGGCTGACATCCTGGCTGCCAGAGGCCACATGAGGAACCGGGAGCAGGTCCGCAGCAAGGTCAAGGACCTGCGGCAGTCCTATGCCAGGGCCTCCTAGCCAGGGGCCACCCGGAGGCCTGACCCCACTTTGAGGCCCTGGACCGCATCCTGGGGTCTCACGCCCTCCATGCCCCCGGGTGGTGATCGACCCTGGGGCAGAGGGACCCATCCTGGACAAGGAGGAGGAGGATGCCGAGAGCCGGGAGCCTGCAGCGAGCCTGCCCAGGGCCCAGGACCCCCGAGGCACCCCACAGAGCACATCGGCTGTGTTGTCCGAGGCCAGGGAGGGCTCCACATGTGAGTGCCATCATGCTCCCCTTATGTGTATGGGAGGAGTGGGGGGATAGGGAGCCCAGGGACCGTGTGCCTGGGCCTTGCCCACCATGGAGCAGCAGCTGGGTGTCATGCAAGGGCCCTGGCCCGTTCCCCATACATCGACCTAGCCTTGCAGAAGGGGGCTGGGTTTCACCCATCGTGTCCCCAGGGAGAACTGACCACTGCTCTTGTTTCACCACAGCCGCAGCACCTGGGACTGCAGGGAGCACCACCCCTCCTGCAACAGCCACCTGCACCCGGGCCAGCAGGCACGCCAGGAACATGGAGGATTACCAGAGGAGGCACCAGCAGCTACTGGAGCACCAGATCTGCATCCAGGAGCACTGGATCCGGGAGGACCTGTGGCTGTGTCAGCAGAGCTTAGAGGTGCTGGAGGAGCAGAGCCGTGCCCTCAGAGGTCACCTCCAGACCCTGGTGGACAGGTTCCTGCCTCCTCCTGCTCCAAACCCTGCGGCCGCCCCAGCTCTCGCTCCTCCTCCAACCCCTGCTTCCCCACCCACTTCCTCCACACCCCCTGTCCCTCCTGTCCTCCCCTCCACACCCGCTCCCCCCCAACACCCCTGCACCCACAGTGTTGTGAGACGGGAGAGCCAGCAGGACTCCCAAGCTTTCCCTTCCCTTCCTCCCCTTCCTCCCCCTTCTAGCTCCCTCCTCCCAGGTTTCCACCTCCCCTCTCCCATCCTCATTTCTCCATCCCCCCATCCCAGTTATGTAAAATTAAAGAGATTTTGGCTGTCAAAAGAGGTGTGTTTATTTGACATTAGGTAGGGAGGTTAGGGAGGGGAAAAGAGTAAGAGGGGAGGATGGAAGACGGCCCCAGTGCGGCATGCAGGGAGAGTTCAGTCCTCATCCTCCACTTCGAAGATCTCCCGCAGGGCTTCCTGTTTCTGGACGGTCCCCTGATGGGATTCCCTGACGGCGGTGTTGTGGGGCTGAGTATAGTGGCCAGCCATGTGCACAGCCTCAGCCGTCCAGGCTGGTAGGAAAGCCTCCCCCTTTCACTCACACAAATTGTGCAGCACGCAACATGCTGCCACCACAGGAGGGATATTGTGCTCGGCGAGGTCGAGGCGGGTGATGAGGCACCTAAATCTGGCTTTCAGTCATCCGAAGGCCCCCTCAATCACGATGCGGGCCCTGGTGAGCCTGGCATTGAAGAGCTGGCGAGAGGGGTTGAAGTGCCCCGTGTAGGGCTTCATGAGCCAGAGCTGTAGGGGGTAGGCCCCATGTCCATGTTCCTGACCCTGATGTGGCGGTCAGGGAAGAAGGTCCCGGCCTGCAGCCTCTGTCACACGGAGGAGTTGCGGTACACCCGTGTGTCGTGTGCCTTGCCGGACCAGCCCACATAAATGTCCGTGAACTGGCCCTGGTGGTCACACATGGCCTGTAGAAGTACAGAGAACTACCCCTTCCTGTTGATGTACTGGGAGGCCTGGTGTTCCGGGGCATGGAAGGGGATGTGCGTCCCGTCGATGGCCCCCCTGCAGTTGGGGAAGCTGAGGGCGCCGAATCCCCGGATGACGGCGTCCGGGTTGGCGAGGCGGACCACCATGCAGAGCAGCACCCGGCTGATGGCCTTGAGCACCTGCAGAGGGACATAGAAAACCACAAATCACTGGGGTGCCCGGGTGACTGGGAGTGTTCGTTCCCTGGCACTTCCCCGCACCCCACTCCCGGAAGCAACCGCAGCAGGCGGCGTGTAGTACGGATGGGACAGGCCGACCCCTCTGGTGCGGGCCAGTTTCACCTCCTCCCCCCATGTTTTCCCTGGGGCAGCTCATCCCCTCCTTGCAGCACCCCTCCATCTCGGCCCAGTGGCTGGTGGGTGCCCTACCTGCATGAGCACTGCTCCGACGGTAGATCTCCCCATGGCGAACTGGTTCTCGACTGTCTGTCTCCCCAGTGCTTCAGGATGATGCAGACCCACCAATTGCTGCTGGAGTCCAGAGGCCAGATGCGGCAGGGCACGCTGGCGTCTGGGCGCTTCTGCCACTCCTCCATGACCCCCGAGGAGGCCAGGGGGAGAGGCAGGGGGCTGACGTGCACCAGGTGGTGCAAGGCAACTTCCACCCATTGCTGGGAGGCTTGCAGCCGCAAGTCCAAAAACTGAAGCAGCATGCCCAGGGTGAGTTCTGGCTCCATGTTGCCAACTGTGGTGGCATCCCCAATGGGAGCTACTGACACAGGCAGGTGCAGAGAAAAAACACTTTGCTGTCCCTCGGCGAGATAGGCAAGCAAGCGGAAAAGCTGAGAACCGGCTGTCCAGGGGGGTCCCTTTAAGCATGAGCCTCAGACAGCAACCACACAAAGCAACTACTGACCTAATGCCCTGCTGGAATCGGTTCCAGCTGCCCTTATATGCGACCCAGCGTCCAATCAGTGTGGATGTGCTAGTTTTAAAGTCTAGATGCCCTAATTCGAATTAACTTACTTCGATTTAACTAATTCGAACTAAGTTAGTTTGAATTAGTGCTTTAGTGTAAGCAAAATGCAGGACAATGTAGCACTTTAAAGACTAACAAGATGGTTTATTAGATGATGAGCTTTTGTGGGCCAGACCCACTTTCTCAGATCAAATAGTGGAAGAAAATAGTCACAACCATATATACCAAAGGATACAATTAAAAAAAATGAACAAATATGTAGATGTAGATGTAGATGTAGCCTGGGAGTCTAAGTAACAGAAAACAAGGAATCCAAAGAGACAGAAGATGACGTAAGGTCATTGAGCGTGAACCCTGTTGTCAGGGTGGCAATGGGCCATGTGTAAGGAAATCTTTCAGTCCATCTCTGACTAATATACAAAGGTGAATGTTTGTAAGATTGTTCACTAATAACTTGGACACTATAAGAGTTACCGCAAGCAAACGTTGCATGGGATAACCTGTCCTCCTGTAGAAGGTTCTATGGTACTCTTGGACCCAATAGGGCCCGATCACAAGCTGTAAAAATAAAAAATAACCTGCGCACTCTGCAGGGGCCGCCGCACCCACCCTACGTTCCATGCCTGCCACCTGCAGCCCCCAGTGCCGACTTCCAACCACAAGGTTACATAAGCGACCCTCTTCCCGCTCCCCTCGCCGCCTCCCGCACCAGCACACAGTGCCTCAACCCTCACGCGCACAGCAACTCGGGCAGCTGCCCTGCTCCGCACGGCACCCGCAGCTCCATTTTTCTACATTTTGTTCCTCCAGTTTCCCGGGCAATGCCGGGTAGGTCCAGCTAGATTTACTCTATGTCAGAATGTGTCCTTTCACACTCCATGCCTGTGTCTGAAAGCAGCCAATGTCAGAAGAGCTTTTCTCAGGGACTGCTGGACCTCCTTGTTTCTCAGGCAGTAGAGGACGGGGTTGAGCAAGGGGACCAGGACTAGGAACCAGACAGACATTATTTTGTGGAAGATCGGGAGAGGATTGATTGCTGAAACTGCATAGACTGTTAATACGCTCACATAGAAAACGGACACCACAATGAGGTGGGAGGAGCAGGTGGAAAAGGTCTTTTGTCTCCCAGTACTGGAAGGGATCCTCAGGATATTGATGATGATAGAAATGTAGGACGTCAGGGTGAGTAGAAAGATCCCAACATTCAATATGATACTGAAAGCAAATGTCAATAGTTGTATAGTCTTGGTGAAGGCACCACAAAACGGACCATTAACACTTCCAAAATCACAGAAGAGAAGGTCAATTTCTTTGGGGCCACAGTATGTTAATTGCAGAAAGAAAATTTGTAGCATGATGGTGTAGGAAATGCCAAATATCCAGGCCGATGCCACCATGTGGCAACAGACTCTGCCGTTCATCAGAGCAGGGTAACGGAGCGGGTGACAGATCGCTAGGTACCGATCAATACACATGGCCGTGAGCAGCAGACTTTCTGCATTGGCAAAGATAATATAGAAATCAAATTGCACAAAGCAATTCTGCAGAGAAATATTTCTATCCCCGGTCGCGAGACTGCCAATCAGCCTGGGCAGGGTGGTGGAGACGTAGCAGATCTCCACAGTGGACAAATTGGCCACAAAGTAGTACATGGGGGTGTGCAGGTGCACATCAGCCACCACTAGCACAACGATGAGGAGGTTTGCAGCCACAGCCACAATGTAGATCATGAGAAACAGCAGGAAGAGGAGGGGCTGCAGTTCAGGGCCATTCCCAAACCCTAAGAGGATCAGTTCCACGATGGGTGTTTTGTTTCTTCTTCCTGTTTTCTCCATAATTTGTATCTGGAAACAGAAACACATCAGACATTCACAGAGCACCTGCAGACTTGTGCTGTTGGCCACATGGCCAAAAACCTGGGATCACTGGGTCTCTCCTCCTGAAAAATGAATTTGTCTATAAGCGGAGGAAGATTCATTTCATTAATTGTTCAAGCTTCCAAGCAAAATCCCACCCAACTGCTTTTAGGCTGGAATTTTTAAATATCGTCATCGTGTCAGTGTTGTTTCAGCCAATGTCAAGGACATAACTAAGGGCAGCAGATTGGAAAGGAAGGATATTTACAGTTCAAACATGGATACATCTGCCCTGCAGTTGGGAGGTGTCATTCTCAGCTGCGGTAACATGCCTCAGCCTTGATCAAGTTAGCAGCATCAAATTAGCAGTGAGAACCCGGCGGCACGAGCAGCAGATTGGGACACACCCCTGTGTGCGTATCTTGGATCTCAGACAGGATCGGGTTGGCAGCAGCTGGTCTGTGCTGCTGAGGCTACACTGCTAATGTTAGCACCAGAGCTCAGTCAAAGACTGTGTGTGTTGCTCTAGGGGAGCAGCCTTTCTGAGGTATAGCTCATCAGACAGAGCAGGTCTTGCTAGTATTCGCTGCGGCACAAGAGTCAAAAAAAGAAAATTCCAGCATGTGGAAAATACAGCTGAGAAACAGAGACAGAAAAGGAAAGAGAAAGGGCCTCACCCCAAACACACACCCTGGGCTGTTACCTGATCTCAGATGTTCCAGGTCAATTCCATCAGGTTTCCATGAAGGTGCACAGGCGGGACTGAGAGCTGCTTTCTACAAGGAAAAAATTCAATGGTCCCAATTTGAAAGATTTCAAAGATACTTCACTAAAGCTCCCAGGTCAGTCTGGTCTGTAGGCGTGGAACTGCAAACACAGGCCACGTGGAGAAAAATTCAAGCCCCTTGTTGACATCAGCCATGAGTTTTCAAGGTATCTAAGGGATTTAGGCACCAACTATCAGTGTGAAAGAGAGTTGGGCACTAGATGGCCTCCTGTGCACCCACACTTCAGATCTTTGTGATACCAGCAAGTGGCTCCTTCAAGGGAGGGTGTGTTCCCATGAAGCTACACACACGGGATCGTTCAGTGTCTCACACAAACACACACGCGCACACACACACACACGCACACCGACACACACACTACCTCTTTAATGCTCACATCGCAACACATACTTGTGGTATTCTTGTACTTTCCGAAAAGGCCAACTATATTCTCCGTCATTTGATTCTTGCTTTCCCAAAAGGTCAACTATATTCTCCATGATTTGATTCTTGCAGGGAGTTCTTCTAGTGGCTTCTGTGCAATTCCTCATTTGGTTTCTCTCTCGTTCTTCCATTTACCTCTTTAAGTGGTGAATTCTACACCGTCTGACATGTCCTGGACGGAGTCATTATTACTAAGGCAAATTTTTAGAATCGATATTATTTCCTGCGCTGGTGGCTCCTACTAGTTGTGCAGAGACGCACGTTACCTGATAGTCCTGCACATAACGAAATTCATTCTGTACTGGAATTAGAAAATCACTGGGGCATTGGGGAGAGGGAAGGGGCTACGTATGTGGGAAAAGAACAGCACAGGTGCCGTTGTGAAACATACCTGCACTCTGCTACTGTGTGTTCTGAGAGTGGAGAGGGATAACTCACGTCCTAGCGCATATCCTGTAAAGGAACACAAACACACACACACACACACACAAAAAGGCTGTGTCTAGACTACATGGCTCTGTTGATAGAGCCATGTAAACTAGCCTACCCAACATAGTCAATGAAACGGGGATTAAAATATCCCCGGCTTCATTAAAATAAAGATGACCGCCCTGCTGTGCTAGATCATCTGCTTGTCCGCACAGCACGTGAGTCTAGGCGGGGATCTGCTGACAACAGAAGCCTTTGTCGACCGATCCCTCATGACTCGTGCCTGTCTCCCGGCAGGATAATAGTTTATACAGCAGGGGGCTGCAGATGGGAAGTTGAATGGTGGGGAAGCATGGATCTGACCATGTGCACAAGGCAGTCCGACAAACTCCAGGCTCCCTTTGATTATGCTGCAATCCCCTGAGCCTCTGAGCCCCCAGCCTGGGTTCCCCTCGCACTGTGCTGCTGTGGCCAGCTGCAGACAACATACAACTTCAGAATTCCCTCCTGCATTCAGACAATAGACTTTCCCATCTGCCACTGTGTGCAGGGCTCCCCGACTGACCACTGCCTGAGGGAATCTCCCGGCAGGATAACCACCGGCAGCCCAGTGTGCAACATCAGCCCTGCACCTCTCTGGAGAAGTAGCACTGGCCAGTAGGAGGTTGTTATCCTGTTCGGAGAGTCACATGCACACGTGTGTTACGCAAGGTGAGATCCCCTCCCAGGCAAGTCACTGAGAGGCCCACTGGTTCAAAGAAAACTACACACAAGCTCAGTAAATACAAACAGGCCATGTGAGCGGTGATCAGGGACAGCAAACCGGTCAGAGCGGATTATCGGCAAATGAGCCAAACAGAAAATCAGCGTAAGCCCTGGGCTGAGTCAGGGGAACGAGCAGATTCTCACCAGTGATGACAGCAGCAGTCCGGCAGTTTCTGTTCCGGGAAGATGCCGTGAGCCTTTGTCCAGCCCTTCCCCCAGGGCAGTCTCTCTCCTCAGCTCCTTCCCAGCGTGCTCTAGTGTGGGGAGTGAAAACGGCTGATTCTACCCCCTGCCTTATATAGCTCTGGCAAAGGGGGGATCCTTGGTTTCAAAATTGCTCCCCACAACAGGCTGTGGAAAAACAACATGGGAAAAGGGACCCAAAGTCATGTGGTCTGGTCCCCTGACCCTGGGCACAGCTGTTAATTGTGGTCTCTCTGGAGCGTTCTGAGGAACAGTTGCCCTGTGGGAGTTGGGCATCTCCTGAGGCCTGTTGTTCTCCCTAATGTCTCATTACAGGGCTCAGCGATCTGTCTGCACTGAAAGCCCCTTCCCCAGTGGGGTACGGCTGTGTGAGTACACTGGGAATAAAGATACACACTCCATATTCATAATGAGAGAGACAAAACTAAGGCAGGAATACAAATGGGATCATCAAATGCAGCAAATCCCAATGTTTCCAATGACACCGTCTTGCCAAAATACTCTCTATTCATTAGCTTGCTCTTGTCTGTGAACATCAGATCGGACTGGCCGGGCCAGACCAGAGCACCCCGCACACAGAGGGACTGGCCAATCGGATGGTGGGAGCTGATGGCCCCAGTGGGAGTGGGCTGGGATGGACGGTTCAGTGATCTGTGTTACCTCATAACCCAACCGTCCAATCGATGCATTTAGGAGGCAAAGGTGATGTTGGGTTAGCTCAGCCTTGAGGGCCTCTAAGCCCCAGGCTACAGGGGTGGATCTTACTGCTCTGTGGACAGACAGGAAACATTGGGATGGATTCCAAAGTGCCAAAGCCACGTCTCTTCATGAAAGAGAAAGGACAGCTGGCCTGTGGCAGCAGACGAGGGTTCATGGGGCTGTTTCATTGTTGGAACGAGGGATCTAGGCCCAGTAATATGGAAGATTCCCTGACTTGGTTCTGCAGCCCCAACTTGAAAGTCTGCTCAGCAATAAAACTTCACCTCAATCTGAGTCAGCTGACGGGGCCAGAGGTGGCTTCTCCTTGCTTGGTAGACGTGTCTTATGTCACGTCAACCATTGCTCATGTTGGGTACTTCAGTTGGTCCCCAATGTCTCCAGGGATGGGTTTCTCTGTCCTGTTTGTGGAACATGTGTGGGAAAGATGGAAACACCAGTGATCACAGCTCCCCTTGGCTGTGGGTCCCCAGACCTGGCCAATGGGAGGAGCCGGAAGCAGTACAGACAAGAACACTGCTTCCCACATCTCCCATTGGCCATGAATGGTGATCTTTGTCCAGCCAGAGCTGTGATTGCCTGTACCTGTCACCAGCAAGTAAATATGGAGGGAGAGGCCTGCTGGAAGCTAACGCTGGGAGACCAGATCCGGGCTGTGGGCTGGTATTCACCTGTCTCTGGTCCCACAACAGTGGGGTATGAACGAACAGAGCAGGAGACTTAGTGTAGAGAGACTTAATTCTTTAATTCACTTCCTACTGACACTTTGGTAAATGTTTGCAAATTCTTTGCATTTCAGCCAGGGAGGAAGGAGGCCGATGGGCAAAGTTGCCGGTTGCTGTTGGGTGCTCAAGTCCTGTTCTTTTCAATTCATTCGTTTCCTTTTATTTTGGTGGAGAGAGAAGTCAGAGCTAATGATCCCTCACAATTTTGTCCCATCCCCTCTGTGTGCATTTCACATCTGCATCAATACCTGTGCTCCTCTGAGTATGAACAGAGACAGAAGTGCCTCGACTGTGGCAAGTGTATGGAAAGGCAGGAATTGACACGGAGAAGGACACTAAAACTCCCATTCCTGCACAGAGTTTCATAGTTTCTTTCCCATCTACAGTTGTGTTCTACTTTCACTCACGGTGGCAGCAAAATACTTCACCTCATTTCCCTCATGTGATTTACAACAGAAGAGCCCACACAATAGAATGGGTATATAATAGGATTCAGCAGGTGGGGAGGAGATCCAGGAATGCTCAGAAGTTAAGCTCCTTGCACAACTGGGGCCTTGGCATTTACGTACAGATCAGTGAAGTGGAGCGCAGCTCAAAAATGCTCGGCTGGTAGGAGAGAGAAAAGCTGAGAAACTAGGAGACTCACAAGCACAAAGCAAGGAATCGAGAAAGAAACAAGGTGACGTGAGGCCATTGAGGGTGAACCCTCTTGTTAGGGAGTCAAATGGGCCACTTGTAAGGAAATATTTCAGTTCATCTCTATTCTACTCTATGTCAAAATTTGTCTTTCTCACTCTATGCCTGTGTCTGAAAGCAACTAGTTAGTGCCAGAAGAGCTTTTCTCAGGGACCGATGGACCTCCTCGTTTCTCAGGGGATGTCTGCACTATAAAGTTAATTCAAACTAACAGACGTTAGTTCAAATTAACTTTGATTGG